CTTCATTGGGAAAATCTCGACAGATGGAGGCAAAAGCTTTCATGCACAAGTTCCAACCGAGTTGTGTCCGCCAGTGTCAATAATTGTTGGTGAACTAGGTCTCGAAATATTCATCAAATGAAGCAGCCGCTGTTGGTTTCCTCATACTTTTTTGCTAGGCCACACACATGGAACGAAGTACCATCAAGGCTGACTGCACACAGTTTTCGCCAAGTTTTACTGTCCTTTTTCACGACAAATATTCGTGATCCGGTGAATGACAGCAGTCGAAATTATTCTTATTTGCATCCGCAAATTATTTTATACAGATGCCTGCAAGGACAAATTCGGAAAGTATGGTAAGCTCCATTTAAATCTATCCTAAGTCGTGCAATTGAAGAAATGAAATGAAAAACAACAGTTTTCCCGGAAACATTACTTTCCAAAGACAACCACTTTAGTATTATTTTTGTTAATAGCAACTATCTTGCCACAGCAACACAGTCATCGCAAGGTAGTGATATGGCCTGCAGGCCTGCAGGCTGCACTACTGCTGGATGGCTTATTGCCTTGTGATAAAAAGCAAGGCCATTTTCGTCTTTGGAGTGCAAACGAAAAGTTTCTCATGCTCTTGCGTGGAATGTTTTCGATAATGCGACCGTATTTGCAAAACATGGTCAAGTTCCTCAGATTTTACGGAAAAGGGTGAGTGTAACGTTTGTGCAGGACAATGCACGGAAGCATTCAACTCTAACAACGATTTATGCACATCTACATAAAGAGGAAAAAACCCAGTAGCACCCTCAAACTGCCTTCACAAAACATATTTATACATCTTACGTTGTCACATCGCCTGTGACGAAATGTTCGTGATTCAGAGAAGGTCGATCCTGCAAGAAACAAACTGAAGACAAGTGTGTGAATTGCTTTGCTGAGTCGTTAGTTCGGTAACGGATCTGTGATATTATACAGTGGATGTTTAGCCTCAGGCGTGCACCCAAACAAAACTATCTAAAACACATAAATGCTATATTCGCAAGAATTCAAAACAATGACGTCAGCGGAAAGCTATCCATCGTTTTGCCATTCACCCACTTCTTGTTAATGAAGGCCAGCAAGAGAACACTGGTCTTCCGCAAGTTCTGACGAAAGCATATGGAAAATACAAATCACTACATATGCTGTTGCAAAAAGCTAAATAATCTCACGTCATTGATGTTACAACAAAGTAAGCTGTACTGTCCAAGCCCAATTTCCATCATGCAAATGGAAATTCGAGATCCCCATTATTTTAAGCGTGCTACCGGAAACCTGAGCAAAAAATGCTGGGGGCAAGTTTTAAATTAAAACTAAGGAAACTAACGAAATATTTTGCACGTATTTAGCATAAAATCTTGTGCTATTTACCGCAGGGTTCCCGCACCTAAAATAATATAGCTGATTAGTTTGGGATGGATGTTCCTAAACACTAAGCACGAACAAACCCCTTAACAACTAAACTTATGTATATACGCTCATAAATCTTAAAGAAAAGTAGGATAAAAATAGTTTCTATGCTTTGTGGGCAACTAACACCTTCAAGAATTGGCTTTCAGAAGCAAGGGTGCAGGATAATATTGTGTGTGGATTCAACCAACTGGACTTTTATTCTTTCTAGCATTGTGTTTGCCTCATTTCATTCATTTCACTAAGACATGCGTAAACAAAAAATAAAACATTTATTAGAAATGGTTTAAAATTTGTACCTTTACGTTCAGGTCACCGTTAATGCACGTTGTGTCTGATAAACAACTATGGTTTAAACCCCCGGTAAAAAAGGGTACTCGAGGTGTCCAAATTACAAGACTGCTCAACACAGCTCCATCAACGGTAGATGAAAGTGAAAGAAAGTCGAACAGCAAACAAAAACGCTCATTGGGGCACTGTCTAGAACCCACATGAATTTCGACCACACACACGGACGTTTCGCGAATGGAAGTGATAAAACCAGTTCGTGATACCCAATTACCAATAAGGCTTTTCGGTGGGGCAACAAGACTTGAGAATTTATAACTACGAGTTCCGCACGTCACTGGTGAAAGTCATAGATCACTGTACAGCTACTCCACCCTTATTTGCATTCGTTAGCGTTGAGCATTCGTGAAATCCCGCAAACTACATTCTAGAAGTTTGGACATTCATCTTTTCGACCATGAAGGCTTCATCAGCATTTAGACCGTATATAAGGCCAGTAATTCTCTAGATTTTTAATCAACATTATGTGAGAAAGTGTTAACCGGCTTCTTCAGCGACAATTTAGCATCAACATGCATTTACTGGGCTTACTATTTCTGATAAAATGAGTGTCATTTTGACTGAAAATTGAACAGACAGTGTCTAAGTTTGGGAGCCGCAAAGGTCGTTTCACGTTGCGCGCTCTCTACTCATGACAAAGGCCGTGTCACGCATTACCAAGTTAATACTTTGAATAATGACAGTTTTTTGTTTGCTAAGCATGCTACGAAATACATTTACCGGGATGAAAGAAGCCACTTTTTGCATGCAAAATATTACAAAACAGAATTTGCGAACAAGTCAGTCAGCTTGGTACAGCATGCACGCGCTTGGTAGTCAGTCCACGTCACTACTTTTAATACCTAATCCGAATATTTACTTGTCTGTTATGTTTTTGGTTCACCAAACTTAAGTAACTGTTGATACCCCTTCCAAACATGTTCTCGACCTTTTGACTACCAACGTTGCCTTGCAGAACATTTCCAGCACCGGTATCCTTAAAGACATATATTACAAATCAAACTGAACCTAAATATACATTCTACGACCTAACCACAACTAGTTTTTCAGTACTATACATAAATGTAGTGTTTCTGTTTTGCTCATAATCATTTCTCCCCCTTTTCTCTAAATTCAGAAGCTTTAAAGCCGTCCAATCAGCATCCTCCTACTTGTCCATAAGCCTTCCAAAGTAAACCAACAATTTTTGGTTTTATCCGTTTCGTAAGAGGTGAATTACACTCTCTGAGTTCAATTAGTGACATTCTTTCTTTGAAATAAAAGAGCGTTCAACAGCTTCAGATTGTCCCATTTTGTTTCCTTTTCCAACTTAAAGTATTCTTTACTTCTTAAACAAAAACAATGCAAAGACTTTTCCTGACTGGTTATATAAAGCATGAGGATAACTTGATTTATAAGTGGATTTCCGAGTTGAGATTAAACCAACAAGCAAACAACCAAATCTAGTAACAAGTGGTAAACACTTATTGCTGAGACCAAGTATACCCTCCCATTGAAACGAGAAGGGCGCACAGTATCGGGGCGTTACCGCTAATCAATGCAATATACCCTTAAAACTCAAGCAACTGATGATGTTCCTCGAAAGATGACAATGCTTCCACTAAAAGGTTACCAGTTTCAGAAAGCATGCAGTAGGTATAAATTAATATTTTCAAGCACTGGATGCAATACTGACTCGCTTAGTGCGTCTAACCGCAAGATTTAAAGAATTTTTCGAGGCACATTTTACACACTTCAAGTATAACACGTGAACGCCTACTTAAAATTATGTCTTATCTAAATAATTAGCACGTCACTAAGCTGGAATTATTTGAGAGAACAGCAAAGCTTAGGTAGACCTCACCCATGTTTTGCCGGGCCTTCAATAAAAATTTATAACACCTATCAATACATATTAATGTCGACCTTACTAGCTGTTAAATACATCATGATATTATATTTTTGAAATTTTCCGATAAAAAACTTGATGGTAGTAATAACCTTGATAGGGTCTGTCAAACTGAAAGTATACTTCTCAAAGCAAAAACAACGCCTGCGACTTGGGAATGACATAAATTTGCCAGCTTATACTAGCCCCGTTCTGATTCTTTGGTGGTAAGGACCGCATAAGATGAAGATAAATATAGGTGGGTCTGCAG